GCGTGGCACCTCCCCCAGGGCAGGAGGAGGCTGCGGGTGCCCAGGCTGCGGTGGCTCACGTGGCAGGTGTAGCTGTGCCCATCGCCCGTGGGCACGGCCAAGGTGCTGCGCAGCTGGTAGGTCAGGTCAGCGTTGGGCAGGATGGAGCTGGTGCCCAGCGCCGGGCCCGGGGGCACCTCCTGCCCGTCCCGCAGCCAGGCCACGCTGATGGGCCGAGGAAAAAAGCCAGTGACTTGGCAGAGCAGCAGGAGCTGAGCTGGGCTGAGCGCCTGGGCGGAGAGCGTGGCCACAGGCAGCGCTGGGGGAGGAGAGCCAAGGGATGAGGGGAGACCTGCTGGAACCCTGCTTGCCCCAGGGGGTGAGCAGGGGCTGCTGGGGTGGCCACGCCAGGGGCAGGTTGGTCTCACCTTGTCTCTCCAGATCAGCTCTCCCGTACCTGCGCAGGGTGAGGATGTGGTCCCGGCAGGAGCTGGAGAGGAGCTGCTGCAGGAACAATGAGATGGACTTCATGCTTGTGAGGGACTTGCTGACCAGCTCTGCTACATGGGACGGCTGCCGGGGCTCCCAGAACTGTCTCTCCACCTCAAAAGATATGAAGTCTCTGCCACCCGCCCCGACATCCATGAAGCTCCAGACTGTCCCGTTGGGATGCAGCACGCAGCCGGCACGGATCTGGACAACCAATGGATCTGCCAAAGGCAGACACGGTGGAGAGGTCCCGTGGGTGTGTGGGACATCACATGCAGAGGTGTGATGGGCAGCAGGTCATGAGGCCATGCTTCCAGAACCCCTGGGACACCCTGCTAGGCCTGTGCCCCATCCGCTACAGCATTTCCCAGCATCTTTTCCAGAGCTGTTGAACCCTCTGAGACCCCAGAAATGCCACCCTCAGGGGGAAAAGGGCACAGCTGGAAGCCAGGGAAAGGGGCTGGGGCTGGTGGTGTCCCCATACTCACAGTCCAGTTGTATCTTCTGGGTCACTTCGTGCACGTATCTGACTAGATTGCGCAGCAGCATCTTGGTTTGGGACTTTATCCTCTCTGCATCACCCTCATCCGTGGCTCGGCGGGCCCAGGGCCAGTGGAAGCGGAGGCTCCAGTCGGCAGGTTCTAGTGCAAACAGGGGCACGTCCCCCAGGAGAGCCAACCCAGACACCTCTGTAGAGCTGATGTTGGCAAAGAGGCTGGTCAGGAGCACCTGGAAAACCTGCGGCTCTGCTGGGAAAGAGCATGGAGATGGGAAGGGCTGCAGAGGAGAGGAGATGGGGCGAGGCTGGAAACGGGGCCTTCAGACTAGACACAAGGAAGAAATCTTTTCTTATCATGGTGGTGAAACACTAGAACTGGTTGCTCAGGTGGAAACATGGAAGTATCCCTGGAAATATTGAAGGTCAGGGTTTTGAGCAACCTGACCTAGTTAAAGATGTCCCTGCTCCTTGCCAGGAGGTTGGACTAGATGATCTTTCAAGGCCTCTTCCAACCCAAAACACTCTAAGATTTTATGCTCTTCACCCCACACTGAGGGGACCCCCAGCAGCACCCAGCCCTGCCTGGGCAACCCCCAGTCTTCACTGGACTCCCCCCTCCTGGCCTGCTCAGGGTTGCTTTCCTATCTGAACTTCCTCTGCCCTTGCTGCTCTTTTTCATTCTCTCTTTTACTTTCGATGAGCTGCTTCTCCTTTCTGCGGCACTTCAGTCATCTCACCCCTCCTGTGCCCCCTCCTTCCTGCCCAGCACCTGCTGCTTGGCTGACAAAGAGTGACTTCAGTGTCTCTTTGGTCCCTTCAGAAGAACCACCTGTGCCAGGACATGGATATGCCAGAGAATTGCACGTGGTGCAGAGGCCATGCAGGATGGAGACAGGCAAATGGCAGGTTTAGGGGCTCCCAGGCATCAAGGAGACCAAACCAGAGATCAACCCTGTATTTCAGCATCTGTCGCTGCATCCCCTGGAAATGGAGGTCCCACACAGCTGTGGTGAGATGCTCTGTGCAGTGGTAGCACCTGAATGCTCAGGTGGAAACATGGAAGTATCCCTGGAAATATTGAAGGTCAGGGTTTTGAGCAACCTGACCTAGTTACAGATGTCCCTGCTCCTTGCCAGGAGGTTGGACTAGATGATCTTTCAAGGCCTCTTCCAACCCAAAACACTCTAAGATTTTATGCTCTTCACCCCACACTGAGGGGACCCCCAGCAGCACCCAGCCCTGCCTGGGCAACCCCCAGTCTTCACTGGACTCCCCCCAGTCTTCACTGGACTCCCCCCTCCTGGCCTGCTCAGGGTTGCTTTCCTATCTGAACTTCCTCTGCCCTTGCTGCTCTTTTTCATTCTCTCTTTTACTTTCGATGAGCTGCTTCTCCTTTCTGCGGCACTTCAGTCATCTCACCCCTCCTGTGCCCCCTCCTTCCTGCCCAGCACCTGCTGCTTGGCTGACAAAGAGTGACTTCAGTGTCTCTTTGGTCCCTTCAGAAGAACCACCTGTGCCAGGACATGGATATGCCAGAGAATTGCACGTGGTGCAGAGGCCATGCAGGATGGAGACAGGCAAATGGCAGGTTTAGGGGCTCCCAGGCATCAAGGAGACCAAACCAGAGATCAACCCTGTATTTCAGCATCTGTCGCTGCATCCCCTGGAAATGGAGGTCCCACACAGCTGTGGTGAGATGCTCTGTGCAGTGGTAGCACCTGAAACACCCTCTTGCAGGTGCAGCACCTGAACAAATAAGGGGCTGCTGGAAGGGGCCCATAGCACCACGTCTTGCTGAGACCCCCTGGCACCCACAGGCTCTCTGCAGGGGGAAGGCACCTTTAGGAGAACCCCAACACCCCAGGCTGCCTCTGGCCCCACTTCTGCTTGGGTCCCTGAGCCCTGGGGCACAAATCCCAAAGCTGGAGGCAGGAACAGAGAGGGTGGGCAGGTGACTGGGCACCTTTGGCTCCTGGTGGAGTGGCCCTTTGATGTTGGGATCATATGTCCCATGCAGGGGACAGTGTCCCAGCTATGCCTCCCCTTAGGAGGGGGTAAGAGTGGTTGGGGTGAACCAGAGCTCCTACTTACTTACCTTCTGGGTCTCCCCACATCCTAGGGAGGAAGAGAGGAAGGAAGAGGAAGAGGTGAGGAGGACGCATGGTGCTCAGGCAAGGCAGAAGCAAAAGCAACAGTGGCTGTGGGAAAAGGAAGAAGCTCAGGGTCCCAGGCTACAAGCCTGCCCAGCAGTGACAGTGGTGGTTCTGCACCAATGAGACCAGTGCAGACGTGCTGGGAGGGGCCCAGAGGTCCTCAGCTGGAGGGTGGGATGTGTGAGAGTGAAAACAGCTGAAACAAGGTCTTGAACAAGAAGAGCTGTGACGGGCCCAGCCAGGAGGAGAGGGCAGGGAAATGGGGCCCAGCACACAGCACTGAGAGAAAACAGGTGCTCAAGGACCTTAGCTGGGTCCTCCCCTGGTGGTGCCTCCTCCCCTTTGCGGTTCTGCTGGGAGGCATCAGCCCCGATGGAGGTGATGGTGGCTTTTGGGTGTCACCCTGACTGGACTAAAATGTCCCCTGTCCAATGCACAAAAGACCCAAAGATGAGAAAAGCAGGCTTTGTGTGTTACAGCAGAGCTGGGGAGAACAAGCCAATCCCTGGTGTTAGGGGTGGGCTAATCAGTTCCTGTTGCTCATGTCATCTTCACATGCCTCTCCCATGCAGGATCAGCAGGGGTTTGTCCCACGCAGGGGGTGTGGATGTGTGGTTTTGTCACAGCTCTGGGACATGCTTGGCCAGCAGGAACCAAGAAGGCCAATGGAATCCTGGGGTGCATGAGGAAGAGTGTGGCCAGCAGGTCAGGGAGGTGCTCCCCCCCCTCAACTCTGCCTGGTGAGGCTGCATCTGGAGAACTGGGTCCAGTTCTGGGCTCCCCAGTTCAAGGGAGACAGGGAACTGCTGAAGAGGGTCCAATGGGGGTCAACAAAGATGACTGGGGGGCTGGAGCATCTCCCTTGTGAGGAAAGGCTGGGAGAGCTGGGGCTGTTCAGCCTGGAGAAGAGAAGGCTGAGGGGAGACCTTATCAATGTATATAAGTATCTCAGGGTGGGTGCAGGGAGGATGGAGCCAGGCTCCTTCCAGCAGTGCCCAGCAACAGGAAAAGGGGCAATGGGCACAAGTTGGAACATGGGAAATTCCATCTGAACATGAGGCAAAACTTCTCTACAGTGAGGGTGACAGAGCCCTGGGACAGGCTGCCCAGGGAGGTTGCAGAGTCTCTTCTGGAGATACTCAAAACCCACCCGGGTGCAGCTCTGAGTCATGTGCTCCAGCCAATCCTGCTTTAGGGTGGGGTTGGACTGGATGATTTCTAGAGGTCCCTTCCAACCTTGATGATTCAGTGGTTCTATATAACCCACCTGTTATGATACCTCTGTCAAGGGAAGCTCTTTGGAAAAGCCTGCTGTGCAAAGCCCCAGTGCTGCCCTGCAGCAGCAGTGCAGGGAGCAGGTTGTCACTGGCTGCTGGGGATTTTCTGCTCCTGCACGTGAGCTTCAGCTGCCCCAGGTGTAAGAGATCAGAAAGCACAGTGAAGTTCTGAGCTGCTGCCTTGCTGAGCATTGCTGGGCTGCAGCAGCACGAGCTGCAACCTTAGCCATGTGAGCTTAGGCTGCCTTCTGACCACATCATTCCTAAGGACTAAAAATACCTGAACAGCTTAGGGCAGCACCTCGAAGTGAGAAGCAAGAGACAAGTGTGATGAAATGCATTGTTGGTTCCAGATCTGTTCACTCTGTGTCAGAGTGGAAATGTCAGTTCATGTCCCTTTACAAATAAACCAGATTTAAAAGATGGTCAAAAGAGTAAAGATGAACAAACTGTGCAAATGCCTGGCAACATTGGCACTGGAGGGAGTGTCTCAGCCTGGTCACATAGCACTGGAACCAGTGGCACCTGGATTCCTGCTCTTTGCTTCTCCATTTTCCATTCTTTAGAATGTCAAAGTCACAAATGAAGCTTTTACTGTTCAGGCATTTGCATTTCTTTGCCAGTCCCTTGTGACTCCTGTCAAGAGAAAGGCTGACCTGATCTGGCACCCTGTTTTCACAGAGAAGGCTGATACAAAACCATCATGAAGCTTGTGGGAGCTTAGTGTCTCTGTGCTTATTCCAGGGCAGTGTTTCCAAAGTGGTTGGTGGGCTCAGAAGGAATGAAGGGAAGGAGAATGGACACATACACAAACCTTGGGAAGCAGACTGGAAGCATCAGCTGGAATTTGGTGTAAGGACTGTCTCTCCCACGTGTGACATGGAGCCTGTGCCACAAAGGAGCTGGAGACTAGAGCTGCTGGCACATGGCCTCTCAGAACCAGCCTGAGAGCAGTTGGGACAGCAAGTCTGGGGCCAGTTTGTGCAAAGCAAGTCTGGGATGTGATCTCTGCTCTTTCTAGAGATGCTCTTGGCCTTCCACCGGGATGCCTGTCACCCTGCTCTCATGTGGGGTGCTGAGGAGCTGCTGGCAAAGAGCAGCTTTTGAGCCCAGCCTGGTCTGTTCCCCTCCCTGGCAAGGTCTGTGTTTGCAGGAGGAGCCTGGCACAGAGGGTGGGCATGTTGTCAAGTGTGGGCACTCTGAGGAGGATGTTGAGGCAGAGTCAGTGTCAAGTGCCTTTAGTGAGGAAAGCCCTTGCCTGGCCCTGCCTGCTGGGCACAGCAGCTCTGTTCCTCCTCCTGGGGAGAGGAATGGCTCCAGGTGCTCAGTGCCTTCTGCACAAACCATG